GGTGGAGGGAGGGGACGGAAGGGGAGACGGGGAGGGCGGGCGCGGGTCGCAGGCCCGGCGGGGCTGCCCAGAGGTGCCGGCAAGGCCTCGGCGGGGCCGGGCGGCGCCAGGTGGCCGGGGGCGAGAGAAGCCGCTGGGGTCCCTCCGCCGAAGTTGAAGGAACAAAATGTGAAGTGCGGAGCCGCGTCAGCCGCTTCCTGGCGTGGGGTCGGGGGTGGAAGGTGGCTTGTTTTCCCCTCCCGCGGGGGTGGGGAGCGGACCAGGGGACGGGCGGGAGCGCACCGGGGACTGGCCGGGGTCCCGGAGCTGTGCTGGGCAAGGGCATTTTGTTCCCGGGGGCCGTCGCCGCGAGTGGGTCCGGTTGGGTCCCTAGTTTTGCGGCCTAAGCTGAGCCCTATAGGCCTCGCGTCTGCTTCCCCGAAGGGGACCGGCCGGGCGGGGACGCGGCGCTTCTCTCTGGCCCGGCGGGGGCCTTGAGGTCCTCGCTGGCCTCTGGAAGCCGCCAAACTTCGGACGTTGGTGCTCGCGGGTGGATTTCATTGTGAAAGGTGGAATGGGAAACTCCTGGCGCTGCTCGGCGCCGCCCGCGGCCGCGGTGCTGGTGCCCGGGAGCGCTGCGAACCCGGCGCTGGCGGGGCCGGCTGGCGGGGTTTGAGCTTCAAAAGGAGCGGGTGGCGGGACCGCTGCCGGGTCCCCGGCCTCCGGGGAGAACGGGCCCTTTGCAGATTAGAGATATTTGAAACGAAAAAAGAGGTTACAAAGTCGCCCCTTTCGCGCTGAACTTTGGTTTTCTGACCGATAGAGGCCGGTAGAGGACTGTGAGAGAAAAGTTGTCCCCCAGGATGGACTTCACCGCGCAGCCCAAGCCTGCCACTGCCCTCTGTGGCGTCGTGAGTGCCGACGGGAAGATCGCTTACCCTCCGGGGGTAAAGGAGATCACCGACAAGATCACCACCGACGAAATGATCAAACGACTGAAGGTAAGTTCCTCGGCATGTTCTTTGCCACTAAGATGTCTTTGGCAGGAGGTGCTTTCTCCGGTCGTATTACTGCACTGCTGGGCCTGATCTTTACTGTTTCACCTGCTAAGTTTTTTAGATCCTTTACTGTCTTCTCCCTTATCTCTTCTGAAAGGTATTGTTCTGTCTTAAATACATCTTTGAATAACTTCTGAAGGAACAGAGTGCCCATTATGAGAAATTTTTTAAAAGTGATTTTTTTTATTTTTTAGTTTTTCAAGCCTAAGAATTGATAAGTTTTTAAAGGTTTTTTTCCTGGAAATATTTAATGAGTATAACTGTTCAAAGTAGGTTGCAAATTGAAGGCCTAGCACTTTCTGAGGTTGAAGTGGGAGGATCACTTGAGGTCGGGAGGTGGAAGGTGCAGTGAATTATGATGGTACCACTACACTCCAGCCAGGGTGACAGAGCCATGCCCTGTCTCTTTAAAAAAAAAAAAAAAAAAAAATAAAA